TCCCCCTTATTCATGTCTGCTCCTTTGCTGTCAAGATATTAAAAAGGTTCCAGTGTATGTAATATACAATACATTAAAATACCTTCTCTAAGGGACCAATCCATTCCCATTGAAAGAGCTTCCTCCAAATCTCTGAACAAAAAAAAGAGCTACATGAACATGTATGTATAGTTGTCCCGAGCTGGTCCACTCAAGAGGTTTGACTTGTAAGTTAAAAAAAAAAAATCAACATCGTGACACAAGTTTGGTTGATTGTAACAGTGGTTGCATACAAAAGGACTGGCTCATTTAAAGAAGGTCACTCCAAAAGGCTCACTTTTTTGTCTTCACCATAGCATAGTGAAGGCATACCTGAAGGTGGCCGCCATTTTGAAACTGAAGTTGGCAGCCAGGTCGTGTTTATGTGACGTCATTCCGTCCGACTCAAAATTGGCGGGAAGGACAAAAACTGGCAACTGACTTTGCATCCTTCACAAGGTCACCAAAATGTATTTTTTCCAAGCGATTACCCACTTAACTATCTTCACTGCTATCATTTTCGGAAACTGGAGCATGTTTGACCCAAAATAATAAGGCTCAAGAGCAGCCATAACCCACAGTGATAGTTAAAAGGCGTGTAGGAAGCCATTCGGACAAACTCAAGTGGACGGAATGACGTCACGAAAACGCCGCCTGGCTGCTGAGTACTGTTCAAAATAGCAGCAAAGATGTCGAATTTTGGACTTCTTTGGAGAAAAATTTCATATGGAAAACCTGCACTTTAGAGGCTGAAACTTCGGTGAGTGGCTAAACTTAGTGCGAGATTTTTATTAGCGTTGAGAAAAAGATGTACGTTTTCTGGAAAGACCCTCTCTGGTCTGAATCCCTTGTACAGAATGTTCTTAAAACTTTGCCAAAAGTTGCATATTATCCTGCTTATTGCAGTAAGGACACTCGAACCATGAACACTTGACATATTTTCGTACATTTTTTATGACCATAGAATAAAGCCTCTTCATATAATGTGCAACGTTAGCATTTTCTAAAATGTAAACACACTAAATACTCTTGCTAGAAGGAAGAGCCCGCACTCTATGGTCACTAAAAGGAATGTTCAAAAAATTATCCCGTGTTCATGGTTCGAGTGTTATCACTGTAAAATTCGATAATAATAAATTGGTTTCACTGTGCCGTTGATGAAATATACATGTAAGTACTTAACGACAAGATTTAGGGTATTTTTAGCAGGTCACACTGTACATGTAGCTATGGTAGCCTGTTATGTCACGAAAACGAGACAAATGTGTTCACCAATGATTGGGCAGTTTTTTGATACCATGATTGTGACATCAACTGACAAAGAGTGGTTAGAAGCACTCATCAAAATCTTGGAAAAGAAACTCATCAAAGTCTTGGAAAAAGTACGAAACTGTTTTTAGCCACCCTAAATATTACAGGATATAACAGCAGTAGTTTCAATCTTACTTTGCTCCCATAGGAATGACACCTTTGGAGCCAACACCAACAGGAATGTGATCAAAAAGTGACTGCAATTATAACAAAAAAGTAAAAAGCTAGAAATTGTAGTATGTACCCTTATTAAGAGAAAGAGATATCTTTCAACCACCATTACTATGGCTGCTACATGTACATATAGGCATACAGTAACAAACTGACCCACAAATGAGAAAAAAAAATTCAAGTATAGTGTATGCAGAGTATAAAGAAGTTTCTATTTCTACTGACAGTCTATTAAAAGTAGAATTGAAAACATCTACATGTACTGTTCTCCACAAAATGCTCCCCACTCCACCATTAGTGTACCTTACCAAGGTCTTAAATTAAGCACTTACTTTTTAATACGTCTTTTTATGGAGGGCTTATTATATTATGACCTGAATGAAGGAATTATTCATGAACCAAATTTTCCACACAATACCATTTGATTACATTTTTAATATCATGTGTGACAAATAACACTTACAATCATGGGTTTTTGACTTGTTTTAGTGTCGACAAATTTCGCGCCAAATGTTGCGATGGCAATTCTATAATACATGTATTATAGATTAACACTGAAATTTCCCACTAAAATTAAGGAGTCGTAATTTGTCACCCATGAAATTATCCTGAGAAATCTGGACAATAGTCATTAATCAAATAGTACTTTCATACTTGGGGACATTCTGAAGATTTCCAAAGGCATTTCAAACCTAAACCCAGTCCCATGTACATGGTTGTACAGTGTATTTCAGCATACAGAGACCTATTCCTTGAAAATTAAAGAATTAGACAAAGCTCGCTGTCATTTACATGGACTTAATATTTCTTTTTCTTGCATTGGTCAGAGCTAACAAATACATTTTTCAAAAGTGTGTCAGTTGAGTTAATATTACATGTAACTGTAACAGCTCAAATTTTGCAGCTGGGCTTGAGATTTGGTTTCATAGGCGTCAGTATGGAAGAGGCCAAAGTTTTTGACCTGAACATGCAAGACTCGCACCTAAGGAGTGAAGGTTGACAGGTGCACACTTACCTGAGCTAGCTGCTCTTTAACTGGCTGCACATCTTTCTCTTCAAGGTTTGTCCTTAGCAGCCTAACACCACAGTTGATATCAAAACCAACACCACCTAACAAGAGTTAAACAAATAGTTTTTTCTACTTAAACTGATTTGCATGAGGAGGTAGTCCATCACTGAATCATTCAGAGGTTTAGGGTGCTGGTTTTATAACCTGAAAGTTCCGGGTTGAAACCCTCCCCAAAGTGCCACTAGATCAATTTTTCTTCTGCAAGATGTCAAAGGTTAGATGTTGAAGATGTTAGAGATAAGATGTTATCCAGTGAGAAAAGGGTCTAGTTATATTTATAGACTGACGGGTTAGTAAGATCCCTGATTCCCTACAGAATAAAATAATTACTCATGTAAGACTTGGAGGCATGATGTCCTCACGGTTAGTGTGCTCACCCAGTTTGGGTTCGGGTCCAGGTTCAAGCCCTGGCCAGGGACATTGTGTTGTGTCTTGGGCAAGACAAATTTAATGCTAGGGGGGTAACTCTGCGATAGACCCATCCAGGGAGGAGTGGAAATGCTCCTAGTTGCTTCATGCTACTGAAACCAGAAATAAGCACAGACCTGATGGGCCACTTGGCTTGTATGCAGTTTTTCCTTTTACCATGTAAGACTTAAAACTATAATTAATTTATGTCGTACCTGGAGACACCACTGCCTCAGGAAGTGACATGTCAAAAGCTGCCATATTACCTGTACAACAAACAACAGAGATTTTGTCAAAAAGCTGCTGACACGTAACTTGTGCATCGCACATGACTAGAGGTACAATCTTGTACATGTCTGAATTTATGAAACTGGTGTTAGTGAGAATCTTGCCCTTGTCAAATATTTATTTACTTATCTTTTTCTATTATTTTATTTTCTTACCAAAGTAGATGATATATTAAACTTCAGAAGAATGTTAGTCTCCCCCTACACCCCCCCCCNTTAGCAGCCTAACACCACAGTTGATATCAAAACCAACACCACCTAACAAGAGTTAAACAAATAGTTTTTTCTACTTAAACTGATTTGCATGAGGAGGTAGTCCATCACTGAATCATTCAGTGGTTTAGGGTGCTGGTTTTATAACCTGAAAGTTCCGAGTTCGAACCCTCCCCAAAGTGCCATTAGATCAATTTTTCTTCTGCAAAATGTCAAAGGTTAGATGTTGAAGATGTTAGAGATAAGATGTTATCCAGTGAGAAAAGGGTCTAGTCATATTTATAGACTGATGGGTTAGTAAGATCCCTGATTCCCTACAGAATAAAATAATTACTCATGTAAGACTTGGAGGCGTGATGTCCTCACAGTTAGTGTGCTCACCCAGTTCGGGTTCGGGTCCAGGTTCAAGCCCTGGCCAGGGACATTGTGTTGTGTCTTGGGCAAGACATTTCACTCTCAAAGTGCCTCTCTCCACCCAGGTGTATAAATGGGTAACAGCAAATTTAATGCTAGGGGGGTAACTCTGCGAGAGACCCATCCAGGGAGGAGTGGAAATGCTCCTAGTTGCTTCATGTTACTGAAACCAGAAATAAGCACAGACCTGATGGGCCACTTGGCTTGTATGCAGTTTTTCCTTTTACCATGTAAGACTTAAAACTATAATTAATTTATGTCGTACCTGGAGACACCACTGCCTCAGGAAGTGACATGTCAAAAGCTGCCATATTACCTGTACAACAAACAACAGAGATTTTGTCAAAAAGCTGCTGACACGTAACTTGTGCATCGCACATGACTAGAGGTACAATCTTGTACATGTCTGAATTTATGAAACTGGTGTTAGTGAGAATCTTGCCCTTGTCAAATATTTATTTACTTATCTTTTTCTATTATTTTATTTTCTTACCAAAGTAGATGATATATTAAACTTCAGAAGAATGTTAGTCTCCCCCTACACCCCCCCCCCNCTCAATCTCTGATCTTTCTGCTTTTACTTGTCCCTTGGATTGATTTTAGCTAGGCCTAATTACGTATGTAAAAGTCGCAAAAGAGTGTAGCTGACTTGGTGCAAAGGAATGAACTATTCATTGTACAGTTGTGCCACCACTAAATGGGTTGTCTGAATAAATAACTGACCACAAACCCTAATTATTATTAATAATAACTTACCAATGGCAAAACCATAACCTGAATGGACATCAGGTAATCCAACTGATCTCTAAAAGTTGAACAATTACAAGACTGTCAATTCATGGTACAGCTGTATGCATGTCTTTGAAGATTTCAACCTTAATCTGCTTCTAAATGTATTTCTTGGCTATTTTGAATAATGATAATCAATGTTATCCGAAGTTTCCTTAACATTTCCTTCATTCAGGCCACCTTTTGGTGAGAATTTTAATATGCTTTATGAAAAGCGAACAGGATTTTCTATTTGACACTTGTACGTGGTCATTTACATGCATGTACATGTATTGTTTTACTTTCACCGTTTATTGTGTTTGGCAAAATGTTTCTTGGTGAATTTGTTTGTAAAAGGTTATCGTTTCGAGTAAATGATTAGACTTAAGGAGTAAGATAGACGGGACTCAAGAGAGCAAGAGCATAGTAAATGATTTATTAATTAGTACTTTATAAAATTATTTAGAGCTCCACTTTTAGTTAGTAGGTTTCGGCAAATCTACATTTTATTAGTCAGAGTATTTCTCAAAGGTGTCCGGTCAATACACCTAGGGTATTTTTGAATGATTAAAACCTTGTTTGAAATGTTTGTGATGGACAATGGACAGAAGAATTGAGTGGCATTTGAATGGTACAGCTATTATTACACAAATCCAGTTCTTCCATGGTTTTTAACAACAGGGGTAGCTGTAGTATCAACTGTTCCTGGTTTAAGAAATAATATAAAATAAATATATTCTTACACCAACAATGCCAGGTAAAGCTGCCACATTTGCAATCTGTTTCACACCAGGAAGAAATCCTCCAATACCTTGGGAAGAAATGAGGTATATACAAAGTTACTAAATTTAAAACAATTATTACCCAAGTAGGCTATTAAATCTGGCCAGGGTGTGGGCTTGACTTTACGTTTGAGAGCCTGGCCCAGGGCAATGAACAACAAGACAATGCAATCTATACTTAAGAAATAGAAAACATGTAATGTGTTTCTATCTTTCTAAAGACTGTAAAACTTTGTTGAGTAAAGGGTAAAGTCTGCATGCGAGCCAAGTGGCCCATCAGGCCGGAGCTTATCCCGGTTTCTGTAGCATGAATTCTTTATGTCTTTAATGTCTTTATGTCGACGATGTTCACATTACCGACATTTTTTCTGACAAGTTCGGATTTTCTATTGACCTATCGAAAAACTAAAAAGTTCAACTCAAACAAGGGACTTGACCGTGACATAAACCGTGGGGGCTGTTATGAAAATCTTTCAGCTCAGCGTAAAACTCACTTATACTTGTTGGTAACAATTTCAGCGATACACTACAACAGTAGGTGTGAGTTACTGGTGTACATCAACACCACACGAATTCCCACTCGATGATTTTCCTTAATTCTCCTCACCTGTTTTGTGAGCAATGTATTGATAATGTAAGGTGAAACTCTTTCTTGATCACTGACAGTGCACTGCCTCGTTATCTTAACCAGTTCTTTCTCAGTGTTAATAAAACAAATCCTTGATTACCTGTCCCCGATGATCAACTCCCATCTTCTTTGCAGCATATGTGTTATAGATTTCATCTACAATTTGAATTTCTGCATAGTGATTTCCAGCTCCAAGAGTACCAAGCTAAACAGTTATAAAAAAAAAAAAGAACAATTGAATGTAAATTAATTAAATTAAATTGCGATACAATTAGAATTCTACTGCACCTGGAGTACTGTACAGTATTGAGTAATATAAGTACTTCGTATAACGTATTGTTAAGTTATCTGGACTGCCTTTAGAGCTCTGTTGGCTAATTTAAGCTGCGCTAAATTCGGCAGCCAAAACGACATTTTTATCGATACGAAAGCGACAGGTATTAGATTTCTCATATCACGAACGTTCGAGGTGAAAATTCTCTTATCAAAATCGGAGAGGCTAGGATTTAAAACCTTCTGAACATTACCGAAACGATCCTTTGGTTGCCCCTGAATGAGGCCTAATCCAGGGAATCTATTATCAAAAAAATATGTCATAAATTGCATTTTATGTATGTAGGTATTTTCCCAAGCTCATCCTACATGTACAGTAGGAACTAAGTTACTTTTTCCCTCATGAGCATCTATTGCAAAGAATATGTCGAAAATCTCTCTGAAATCCATCTCTTTCATAGCAGAAGTACTAACAGATGAAAACAGTACTTTGCATTTCTATGAGGGAGGTTCACATACCTGCGGTAAGCCTCTTTTCTTAGCTCTAGGGCTAACTTTATCAGGGTCAGCTTGTAACATCCGGCCATACTCTTCACAGTGCTCCTTGTCTTCAGCCCATGCGTAACCTCAAACAAAATATTCCGCAATGTCTGGGTGACTAGGTAAAGACTTGATGCTCAGTCAACGGTTTTGCTTTTCGCTGCCGTCAGTCACCTAAGGGGTACGGACCTCTCGGGAAACAGAAGTTAACCTCAGCTGGTTGAATACACTGTGGGTCGCATATGTGGGTTGTGATTGGCAGATTTCGATCCATTTGTTTGTTTCCTTTTTTACAGTTTAAGGCTCTTTGCTTGTCGTAGTAAGTATACTTGATGGCAGCCAAAAACTATATGATCGTTAATTAGGTTTTGAACTTCAGAGTTTCTGTGTTATTGAAAGGCGTAACATTCATGCAT